GGGGGGGGGGGGGGGGGGGGGGGGGGGGGGGGGGGGGGGGGGGGGGGGGGGGGGGGGGGGGGGGGGGGGTTCCCATCACCCCCCACCCGTCAGCATTGTTGCCAGACGTGCCGCACGTGCATCAGGAAGGGTCATGGGAATCGATCAACAAGCTGGACCGTTAGCCGTCATCACCACAGACGAGGGCAACAAGAGGACTCACGCCCGCACCGCCAACATCAACACAAGCAGCAACAACGGCACCGAAAAACAAGGGAGCGTCCACACCACCATCCAAACCCAAACACTGGCAGGAAAAATCAAAGGAAGAGGCAAGAGCTCGCCTGTTCCCATTGGCCTCCGCGTGGAGCTCGCCAAAGATGTCCCACTCCACCACCCCCTGGACGAAGTGATCCAGCGTGAACGTCTGCACATTGGCGTGAGTCCTACGCTGCTGCTGCAGCGCCGCCTTCGCGCGGTCCCTGTTGGTCCTATCCTCCGCTGCACCGCTGCTACTACTACCACCGCTGCTGCTGCCGCCACCGCCGCTTCCCCTGGCTGCTGCAGGCAACTTCCGGGGCCCGGCACTTGCTGCCCCTGCCTTCTTACCCCCGCTGCCCCCAGCACCACCGTTGGCGGATAGAGCGCCGGTGCTGTCCAAGCTGCTGCTGCCGCTACTGCTCCCACCGCTAGCACTCCCCCCCGAGGAAGCTTGTGCCTTGGGTCGTCGCCGCTCCTTGCTCTTCTGCTGCTCCTGTTATTTTGATGTTTTGCATCGAGAGTGATGAGGAGTTTCATGGATGACGAGGCGTTATCTATCTCGGGTAAAATGCGTCCTTTACACCAGCTTCGAAAAAATCTAGGATTGCTTGTTCCTTACAAAGAAGCCGGGGGTCGTTTTGCCCGTATTCCACCTACATGTATCCACCTTGCTGCTATGTACTACCGCCCATCCGTTTGCTCGACTCACGGATGCGGTCCGGGTACGCTGTGTTTCAACGAGACGCGGAAGCTGATACTCCATTCCGCTTCGATCGTTCCGTCAGAGCACCGGGTTTTCCATCAAAGGTTGATACAGACCGCGTGCGTTTGGAAGGTTCGCGGAGTCACCACAAATGACCCATCTTATCACGTCGAGTTAGTTCATTTGCAGCAAGTGCGTCACACCTCGCCGAAATGCATGTCACTGCGAGAGGCATGCTACCAAGAGACACAGGACGTGCTTAGACTCTAAGCACACAAAGAAATGCCGCAGCCGTTCATCGCCGAGTCACAACAAGTTGGTCAAGGAAGGTACGTTATAAATAGGCCTATACCACAAGAAGAATGACTCCTACTAAGTCTGAGCAGAGACGGGTGACTTGTGTGCCCGCGCAAGCCAATGTACTGCTGCCGAGAAGGCAACGGACCCTCCTCTCATCCCTCGAGGGGAAAACGGGGGTCGTCGGGTGCGCGGACAGAGACGGAATTGTTGGCCCGAACGAAAAAGTCTACAGCCTTTTCTATTGCTCAAGCATTCTAGAGGCGCCCGCGGTGTTACGGTTAAGAGCCGCTGAGCCTTCCTTCCCCGGTTCCCGATCTGAGGCGCGCGCACGTGACTTCGATTGGTACGTCGGAGGGATGCATATGCGAATGTATGGCATCAGATATGTTTCAGATAATGTAACGTTGAGCCAACGGGAACGGGAACGTTGTGAGCGGATTGGTAACGACGGTGCAAAATGCGAAAACTGCAGCAGCACGAGCGGCTACGAGATTCAGTTTTCGGCAGCTTTTGGTTTGCACGTCCTCCGTCATCCCCATCAGCATGGCTGGTTACTGCTAGGTGCGCGTGTAAGGCTACGAACGTCGGTGGTGTGACAAAAACCACTCGTGGGGGGGGCGTGCAACAACGCGGACGATCTCTCCTTGTGTCTGCATGATCTTCGTTGGAGAAAACGAGAAAAACGATTTGAGACGAACATCACTGCTGTACTCTCTGGGGTCTGCCTCCATCACGAGCCAAAGGAACTCGTGCCCACCAAACGACTTGTGATGCGACAACAGCACAGCGGTGATCCTATCCCATTCGGTATTCGATACCTCTGTGGCGCAGTAGCAGTACAAACTTGGTAACGACCATCTACCATCTACTTTTGAAACATTGATATACGAAGGATGCTACACTACAGCGGGCCTCCCTACCTCGGCCAGCTTCTTCTCGCGCATTTTTCGCGCATACTCGGCCACCTTATTGGACGTCATCGTGCCCGGTGCCTTCCGCCAAGGCTGGCGTGCCCTACGGACGGCCGCTGTCTCTCTGCCTGCCTGTTGTGTTTCGCCGTTGTTGGACGAATTTCATTCTGCGTACCCCCTTTGCATGCCCCGTTTTGAAACCGCTAACTGTCAAGATGGAACTCCTTTCACTTGCGTCGCGTCCTCCGCTCTGAAATGTGTCGCTGGCCACCGCACGCACCACGTGCTTGCGTTGCCGCCGTAACGCTCGAGGCGACCGCGCCACACACACAGTAAATTTGTTTAAGTATCTGGAGCAAGCGAGAGCGAGAGGAACAACCCTACACATCCACCCGACCCATCATCTGGTGTCGGGTCGTCCCGTGGGTCGAAGCGCTTCGACTTTTGGAAAAGAGAGTATTGGCAGCAAGTTTCAAAAAGTTCAACATTTTCACCCGTCCGCGCTCTGGTGTTGGAGGGCAAGGAAAGACACGTCTGGAGCTCCATCGGCCGCTCTGGAGCTGAACGTGAATGGGGAATACGGCGGAGAGGCTGCAAAGCACCGCCACCGCGAAGAGGATCTACCCTGAGGCCAAAGGTGAATAGCAGCAGCTTTGGGAGTAGAAGGGACGGACGGCCTCACACGACTGCTGTTGTGTTTCAAATGTTCCTTGTTCTTTCGGATTTGGTGCGGTGCGTTGTGTTTGCAGGATCATGCGCAAATCTACCTCGGAGATTGCGACCGCAGGGTTGAAGCACCACGCAGAAACCGGCCGTGGGAGTCCGACCGCATGCGGCACAGGCAGAGAGCCGTCTCTGGTGTTGATGTCGTACACGCGGGGGGCGGCGAAAATTGTGCTCCGAAATCCGCCGAAATGTATCTTCCCTGGGAGCAGGGCGAAGACCCTTGCCTCGAGCGCGGCTCAGCAGGTTGGGGGGGCAGCTGGTCAGCAGTGTTGCCCCTGCCACGTTTCCCGCAACAACAATCTGTCGAGCTGGAAGGTGCGCTGTATGCATCTGTAGTTCTCTGCGAGAGAGCCAAGACAGAGGAGCATAGGCACGGGTTAGGGTGCAAGACATCCAGCCCGCCCGCACGCGACAACGGGAGCAGCATAGCAGCATGTGCAACACATCCGTAAATCCGTACGATTGGTGGGATCTAACCGTTTGGCCTTGTGGTCGGCACACCATGAAGAAGCTGCACGTATGCATATGAACAAAACGACGTTGGACGTTCGACACACCCAGCAGAGCAGGGCCGTGGCAATCGCGCGCACGTCTCGGCTCTTTGCAGTGGCAATGGAAGCACCTACTCCGTTTCCTGTTAGCAGAACTGGTCTGATGAAAAAGCGAAGGAAGCACTTTGGGAGCCAGCCCTATTGCCAGAGGAGTGTGGTTCTCGGTCGAAAGGCAGTGAAAATATCCACGGTACACAGCTTTGCTGCTCTCCGTCTATGTCCGCGTGTTGTATCCGAACCGCGACATCAGTGGACCTTTTCGACGATGCCTCTCGCAAAAATGGTCTCGCACTCCTACACAACTTTTGCGCGCACATGTCTCGTTACTTCCCGTCTCTTCTACTTCTGTACCCTGCGCACTTCTCTGTAGCTGTACAGTACATGTACAACATGTGAACTTTTGTACTGCTGTAGCGAGGAGGTTTTCGATTCACGGCCACAATCGACACGTTCATACATGTCCCTGAACAAGGATTGCTGTAAGCCGTAGTTATGCATCTGAAGATCCGAAGACTGCTTGGTGTAGGTGGTGCGGTTGTCTGGATAGGCCACAGGTTGCGGCACGTTTGATTGTGCGGACACTCCGTTACAGGTGCGCTGTTCGTGTTAGAGCTGCGTACCATCAACTACGTAGCTCACGGGAGATCACCGTTGGGCACTCCACTTGCCGCTGTACAGAGCACGCACACATCATGTGTTCCTGCCCGACCGTGCCTCTTCGACCGCATTCCCGACACGCTCGATCCATCGCCAAAAGGTTGGAAGGTTTTTGATGTTTCTCTGTCGATATACCGAGCATTGTTCAGCAGGAGCATTCCACGGTAGACCAACAATCCGTGCGAGGGATGACCCTGTCCCGTGAGGTTCAATCATCAAGCCTCATGAAGAAACACAAGATATGCGTGGTACCGCAGTTAACTTTTCAGCATGTGTGAGTGCATCGCGACAGGGAGCTAGCTGTATTCTACAATTTGTGCGAGGGGTGCGCGGCATATGCCCGTGGGAGTGACTGACTGCTTGTGTCACCGCGTTGGCATTCGGCGGAGCCCGTGCTGGCAGTCTCAAAACATTCCGTCGAAGCTCGTAAAGTTTACGAACAAAGCATCAGCCAAGAGTTGCAGGAGTAAAAGTTCTTCTCTGTTGTGTGCTACAGCAGGTGGTATGATACGTTCATCCCCAGACAACACCCACCACACTCTTGCTGCAAATAATCTTGTTGCTGTTGCCCGTTTCCAACCCTGTTCAACGTGCGACATACCTACATTTTTGTGACCACGGACCGAGTCTTTGCTAGATTTTGGAATTAGCAACTGACACGAGTTTAATGTGAAGAAAACAACAACAACAGCAACAACAACAACAACAAACAACAAACAACAACAACAGTACATACCCGCGCTCCCACTTATTCGTTTTCAACCGCCAACCACCCCCGTATCCACCTTATCCGCTCCGATCTGTTACTTTCATCATGTCCGGGTCCCGTCTTCTTTCACCGGTCTTATCTAATTTTCCTTCTCGCTCTCCCCTTGCTCCCACACGGCACCGCTCGACGATATCCCAGGGTCCGCGAGGGCACCTCGGTCCCCTTCCACGAAGTTTCGGCCCGTGGACCTATCACCGAGAAGGAGGCAACGACGCAACTGATTGAAACAAGACGCTCTTCCGCAGGCGTCTCCACGACCATCCGCCGCCGCCGAAGCTCTTCTTGTCACCCTATTTCTCCGCTCCGAAGCGCGCGGTGGGGCCCGCCTGAAGCGGCGGCGAGGTGGTGTGGGGGGGGGGGATCCGCAGCCGGGATAATGACTACCAGCGCTCCCGCTATGGCCGTCAAGAACCTGTCGGCAGTAACAGCTGCAGCATTCCCGGATGCGTCCTCCGTTTCCTCGAACCGATCGCCGGACACGCCGGGTGAAGGGGAGACCGATCATCCGGTGAAGAAGGACGCACCAGGATCCGAGGTGGCGGCGGCGGCGGGGCCCGCCGGTGACCTACAAGCCCAAACGGCGACGCCGGTCATGCCGGCGGCCCCGAATCAGGATGCACCATCCCATGATTCGAGTAGCGAGGGCGTTCTGGAGGTTGGGGCTGCTATAGGTCCGGTGCGCGAGAACGAAGGTGGGGTCCGAGAAGAGGAGGCCCGTGAATCACGTGAGCAGGGGGAGTGCTGTGATGTGCAGGTGCCGGTAGCGCTGGGGGTGGGGCGGAAAGGGGGTATCGGAGGAGGGGGCGGAGGCGAAGAGCGGGACAAGTGTGGGAGCAAGGTGGCCGCAGCGGGGACGTTTTGTTTTGGGCCACACGGCGGAAGGGCGGCAGCGTCGGGAGAACAAGCTTCTGCGGGAGCGGCAGCTGGAACAGCAGTGGCATCAGGCGCAGGGACCTCCTTTCCCTCCGTGTGGGATCTCGACTCGCTAGATTTCGAGGAAGAGCAAGATCAAGAAGTGGAGGAGGCCCAAGCTGACCGTGACCACAAGCCAGAAGCGGTTGGGTGCAGCCGGCGAACCAAACCGGAGAGCCACAACAGCAGTCGGCAAGACAGAGGCAGGAACATCACGGCCTACCTACAAGCGAACCACCAGGAGAAGAACGAAGGCGGCGATGCGAATGTACCCGCCGGTGCCGACGAGCGGCCACGAAAAAAAGCCTGTGCCGGGGTTTCCACGGCCGGACGACCCGCGGCCGGAGTCGTCGTTGCCGCCGCCGCCGCCGCCGCCGCCGCGACGGTACTGACAGGACCGATACCAATCCGCCCGGTGGCTGATTGTGGTCTCCTCCGCACGCAACCGCTCGAGTCCGCCAACAACAAGCGAGAGTCTGGTGAGAAGGGTGATGGTGATGGGGGAGGAGGGGGAGGGGGAGCGGGGGCGGCAGCAGCGGCGGTGGTGGCGACGGCGGTGCCGTACAACCGGGCGAGGGAGCTCATGCCACCCCCGCCGCCCAACATCACCCGCGCCAAGATGCGCCGCCGCAGGTCTCGAGTGTCCCTGATGCACTCCGCGAGGTAAGAAAAGCGCACGACTGCAGCGACAGCGACCGGGGTGTTGGTCGGGAGAGGTTGGGGGCAGGTGCGGGAGACGTCGTAGGCAGAACGGTTCGTTGTGCCTTTTGTTTTTAATTATTGGATGCTTACTTGTTTTATCTGCAGAAGCATGCAAGGATGGATTGGTCCTGTGAAGCCTTCTTCCCTCCCTCCCGTGGTGATAAGCTTTTGTACGCCTCACCCGCGGTGTTTGTTTGGTTCCGCTGGTTCGGTGATTTGCAAGCACGGAGAGAGCAGTAGATCCATCTCCGTTCCTGCCGTCTTGTCATGCGAAACTCGGAGAAGCGCCGCTATCCCCCGGTTATCCATTTCGAAGAAAGGACAATCGCGCTGTTCGTAGGCCGTGATACCCGCACTCCGTCCACCGCATCGTGTTCACCCCCCCCCGCCAACCGTGGCATGCGTGTCCGTGTCATGCTTCTGATGTTCCTGTCGTTCCTTGATCGAGCGCGGGACCCCTTTTGCGCCAGCTTCCCCTTGGTTGTGTTGCATAATGAAATTGCGCCGCCTCCTTGAGAGACACTGTCTCCTATTTCACCGATATGTCATATCCATCCCTACTACTCCGCTTGCCACCTCTACGTCCGCCGCTGCTGCTACTGCTACCGCTGCTTCTAGGAATGACGCTCGCCCGACCTCTTGCGTCTGCCGCCTTTGCTCCCGCAGGTACCAGCGACTGTGCGGCCTCCTCGAGAGGCATAACCGGCGGGACGACCTGCTGTACGCTATGCTCGGGGCGTGTGGCCTGCCGGAGAGGCTCAGCATCGTCGCCCCCGCCAGAGCGACCGACGTCCACCT